CACACACACACACACACACACACACACACACACACACACACACAAATAGGCACGTTTCCTGATTATTTCTCACATAAAATCATTCATGAAACGCTCCAAAAAAATAATAGAGACAAATGTGAGCAGCTGTGTAAAGACAGATTTGAGAGGGAAACAAGAAAATTTCATCAAATTCCACTTCAGCGAGTCGCAGCAGCGTGAGAAATAAGCAGCGTAACAAGAGTTTAACTTCTCTCGCTCCGTCTCTGTGGGCTCAGTTAGAAAGCTGGAAAATATCCAGGCAGAGGAATTACTCCTGAGCCTCRCCTCCCGCCCTCCTCCTCTCCCCGTGCAGCCTTGTTGGTGGGGCGACTGCAAGGCTGACGACTCACAAAACGCACATCCACACACGCGCAGTCGCAAATCACCCCGGGCACACCAGTGTGTACATTAGGCGTGCTGGCAAACACACACGCATTAACTACCACCCAAAATAAAACGAGCCCTTTTCACACGCACAACGTGACGAAACCTCGCCACACGTTTGTTGTCCCTGCGGGCTTCATACCTGAGGCGTGCAGCTGCTGATGGGTCTGATCTCATTGCTGAGGGGCGCCATCGAAACCAGCAGCTTGTAGTTTTTGTTGAGGACGCGGCTGCAGGTGGCCTGGTCCAGACCCAGCAGGCTCTCGCAGCGCAACATGTCCAAGGGGAAACCTGGGGGAGGCGAGCAAAGTCACAACTCAGAAACGAGCACATTGGGTTAGTGCGTCTCTTAAAGTTCATCTTCAATCAGCAGAGGTAGCATTGATCTTTTCCAGCACCTGTTGATCAAAGTGATGACTCAGTCACATACAATCAAGCTTTCTTTAAAAGAAAAGAAGGCAGATGAAGTATAGACATAAAACACATTCTCAGCAGCAAAGCTAACCTAAAATTTTGTACATCAAAAGTAAACCGAACCTATTTTGTTACAGAGAAAAGTTTTCTAAGAGGAAGCTGAACTGATTTCCAAAAGGCTCAAAATAAAATCAAAAATTCATAAAGGATACAAAAGGAGCACCACCTTGTACCAAAGTCTCAGACATTATTTTACACATTATGGCCAAGGTGTGTGCACGGAAGAATGATGCTGTTTTTAAAGCTTTCCATTACWCTGTCGCCTCGAACAACGAGCAGCTCTCAGCTGCAGCGGAGCATTCTGAAAACTAAAATCTTGTCACACAGCAGAAGAATATAAGCAGACAGAAAAGGATTTGCAGTGCGACCATTAAGAAATACTAGTCATCAGGAAAAAGATGGAAGAAAACATCCTAAACCTTATCATAGATTAGGTATGAAGGCCAATCAAACTCTGACAACTGAAGAAGCTTTAACGGATTGTCGAAGAGGAATGTATTTTTCTGCCTGCACAAAAACTTCGATCAGACATTCTCAAAACTTTGCATTTCATATCTAGAATTTGTCTTCCTGGAAGACAAACTCAATTTATTACCAAAAAGAACCAATAACATAAGAGTATTGTGACATCAGCAGCTCAGCTTAGCTTCAGCSAGCAGGCTCATCTGTTGCAGAGCAGCCGCCTGGGTACGACCGGGAGATAAGTCAATCAGAAGCGAGGCATGAAGCCAGAGCAAACAAACAGCATCTGGTGGAACAATAGAAGCTAAACGGAAACTTAGAGAGTCACTTTGTTGGTGCTGGAGGATGATTCTTGTGTTGCAACACCACGAGACACAAGGCGAACAATCACTCCAGCGTTTCTATGAAGGTACTTAAAACTAAAAACACTATTCAGGCACCAGAGAGAATCATTAAAAACAGCTCTGACAGGCAGAGATTCAGTCTGTCAATAGCAGCACAAAAACACTATCTACTTCCTCTTTGCTGCTTCCAGATGAGTTCCTAGCTTTTAATTACTTATTGATTTTCCAACGCCACTAAATAAGTTTAAGTAGTTGAATGAGAATCATTAACAATAGTTGTTTAYAACTGCTGCGGTAATGACAGCTCAGAATATCTTTTTTGCTAACCAACTGAACACAACAAATACCCTGACAATTTCACACAAGCTTTTTACGCCAGTAATGTCTTGTAATTTCTAAAGTTTATTAAAAATGAAACCATCAACTGTACAGATAATATATAAACAAGGGAAAATGAAATAGATCACAAAGTTAAACCATGTTGTTTATAGAGAAACCAAATTACTCCCAAGGGAGACTAATAAAACATACATTAAAAAAAGTCCTTGTGGATAATTTTTACATTCCCATTCCTGTCCATACAAACAGAAATGGTATACATTAACATTTTTGAGGAATAAAATATCTGTACATAAAGCAATAGCACAATATTACTTGTTCTAAATATGCAAACATAAAACATGACAAACTGCTCATGGGATCAAATCGATTCAAAGGATTTGCTGAATCAATTTGAAATGGGAAAAAAATTAATTGCAATGCATCGATTGGTATTTTTACTCACCCGTAAGAATGGAAATATTCTGTATATTTAGAGTTAATTGCCTGATCTCAGATTAAGCAAGATTTAGGTTTCAGAAATAAAGAAATATTTACAAATAACTCTTTAAAAGGTCTGAAAACATAACATCACAAAAACAGGCTGCACAGACTCACCATATTTCTGATAACGTTAATTTGCCTAATTACATTTAATCCCCTGCAGGAAGTGTAAAAACTGGAAATAATTCCCTTATCGTTCCAACAATGTGAACGCAAATATCCTCAAATAAAGCTGACAATCTGCTCTTTTCTGTGCCCAACTATGTATGAAATCTACAGCATTAAAAAGTTTCAGTCGAAATAAAAGATGTACAGCCTCCCAGCTGGCAGTTTTGACTGCATTATCACAAATTTCATGTGTTTGCTGGAATTAGATTTTTTTTAATAACCACTAGAAATTGTTATCTGGCCATTATAAGTAAGGATGTCCCTTGTTGGCAGGAAAGAATAAATAAAAAGCACTGTTATAACACAAGAACTATGTGCAAAAAGCAAACRATGAGTAAGAGTTTTTATTTTGTTTGCTGTAATTTTATGACCCAAACTAACATACCGGCCAAGTTAATTGCACTTATTCTACAACCATAAACAGTTAGGCACAAATGAATTGATTGAAAAAATACATACCTATATTTGGAATATCAGGCCCTTGATCCTGAGTGAGTTCTTTGTTGTAGCGCAGGAAAAGGATGGTGTTTTTAAGGGTCAGAGCATGATCAAAGTACCGCTGAGCCTCGCCCTCTGCTGTGCTCTCCACCTGAGAAATTATCCTCTCATTATTATTACTTCTAATCAGTTTGGTATTTTAAAGCAAATGACAGTATTAGACAAGTTTTTAAAGCAGATTTATCAAAAGAAAGTTACAAAATCACCTTTTCCAGCTCAGCCAGGAAACTGTCGAGAGTCTCATCAGACAGTTTCCCCACTTCAAACATGGTCACCGCGTGACTCTTCAGATTCTGACGGGACAAAAACAGAAACATTTAGAGTAAATGTTTTTATATCTATTTTTTTAATTATGTCTAATTGTGCATTTCGTGTCCACAAACCGGAGACAGGTTGCCCATCATGAGGAAAGCTGTGAGAGTGGAGTCAAACAGGAAGGCGATCCTTTTGGTGGGCGCGGCTGGAATGCTCAGGCTGCTAACGCTGCCCGTTTCAGCTGCAAACGCATCACAAACAATTCAGTAACCATTAACGTGTGTTAGAACAGCCACAGCGACACAATCAGCTGTCAATTCTTCTTCTAACCCGCTGATATCAACATGTGATTTTTGTGAAAAAAAAATGTTTACAACATTTCTTCGTCTGAAAAAGATTAGGTTCAAACTGATTTGCATGTAAATGAGTTTGATCAACAACCCCTTTGATAATATCCAATTTGCTTGCAACTCTGTCAGCTTAATAAGCATAACTAAATTAAAATGAGGCTAAAATTGGACGACTTTAGACAAACGCCCAGTAACGTCAAAATGACTTTCAGAAGCACCACTGAGCTTTCTTTGGGATTAATTAGCGGTGCTGCCTCGAACCTCTGAAGCAGCAATCGTGTGTGTAGATGTGAGCATTAGGTTCAGACCTTGGTCTTCCAGGCTGGTGGTGTCCGTGTCTGTGGCTGAAGAGCCTGCCTCCATGACGGGGCTGCCCTGCTCCCAGGACAGCAGCATTTTCTGGGGATCCATGGTGCTCCTGCAACAGAGCGTGGATCCAAACATCTCAATTATCAGTTGATTTGATTTGATTTGATTTATTTATTTAACAGGAAAAGATTATTAAAAATCAAGCCTGACTCAGCMTAATTGCTGTTTTACAGCAGGTTCCTGTTCTGCAGCACATAAAACACTCAGAATTACAGCATCACAATCACATCATTATACACCATAGACACAAAGACAAACAAGCATACCAAATTTCAGGAAGGCAGCATTTGCAAAATAGGACGTCTAAATATGAGCACAACAAAAAGTGTCCAGCAGATGGCAGAAAGATTCTTCTTAAAGGGCTGTAGTTTTGAAATGGACTTTATGTTTTAAGGAATGTCATTCCATGCTTTAGTATAAACAAAGAAGAAAGACCTCTGGCCATAACAGTTTTTAAAAGTTGGTAATATCAGTTGTCCTTTTGTAACAGATCTAGTTGAATGACGTTCAAGTTAAAAAAGTGAAAGGTCAGCTGACAATACAGTGGGGAAAATAAGTATTTAGTCAGTCACCAATTGTGCAAGTTCTCCCACTTAAAAAGATGAGAGAGGCCTGTATTTGACATCATAGGTAGACCTCAACTATGAGAGACAAAATGTGAAAAAAATTTTGAGAAAATCATTTTGTCTCATTTTTAAAGAATTTTTTTGCAAATAATGGTGGAAAATAAGTATTTGGTCAATAACAAAAGTTCATCTCAATACTTTGTTGTATATCCTTTGTTGGCAATGACAGAGGTCAAACGTTTTCTGTAAGTCTTCACAAGGTTGGCACACACTGTTGCTGGTATGTTGGCCCATTCCTCCATGCAGATCTCCTCTAGAGCAGTGATGTTTTGGGGCTGTCGGCGGGCAACACGGACTTTCAACTCCCTCCAAAGGTTTTCGATGGGGTTGAGATCGGGAGACTGGCTAGGCCACTCCAGGACTTTGAAATGTTTCTTACGAAGCCACTCCTTTGTTGCCCTGGCAGTGTGCTTGGGATCATTGTCATGCTGAAAGACCCAGCCACGTTTCATCTTCATTGCCCTTGCTGATGGAAGGAGGTTTGCACCCAAAATCTCACAATACATGGCCCCATTCATTCTTTCATGTACACGGACCAGTCGTCCTGGTCCCTTTGCAGAGAAACAGCCCCAAAGCATGAWGTTGCCACCCCCATGCTTCACAGTTGGTATGGTGTTCTTTGGATGCAACTCCRCATTCACTTTCCTCCAAACACGATGAGTTGTGTTTTTACCAAATAGTTCWACTTTGGTTTCATCTGACCATATGACATTCTCCCAATACTCTTCTGGAACATCCAAATGCTCTCTAGCAAACTTCAGACGTGCCTGGATATGGACTGGCTTAAGCAGGGGGACACGTCTGGCACTGCAAGATCTGAGTCCCTGGCGTCGTAGTGTGTTGCTGATGGTAGCCTTTGTAACATTGGTCCCAGCTTTCTGCAGGTCATTCACTAGATCCCCCTTGTGGTTCTGGGATTTTTCCTCACCGTTCTTGTGATCATTTTGACCCCACAGGCTGAGATCTTGCATGGAGCCCCAGATCGAGGGAGATTAGTAGTGGTCTTGTATGTCTTCCATTTTCTGATTATCGCTCCCACAGTAGATTTCTTCACACCAAGCTGCTTGCCTATTGCAGATTCAGTCTTCCCAGCCTGGTGCAGGTCTACAATTCGGTTTCTGGTGTCCTCCGACAGCTCTTTCGTCTTCACCATAGTGGAGTTTGGAGTGTGACTGTTTGAGGTTGTGGGCAGGTGTCTTTTATACTGTTAACGACTTCAAACAGGTGCCATTAATACAGGTAATGAGTGAGGGAAAGAGGAGCCTCTTAAAAAAGAAGTTACAGGTCTGTGACAGCCAGAAATCTTGCTTGTTTGTAGGTGACCAAATACTTATTTTCCACCATTATTTGCAAAAAAATTCTTTAAAAGTCAGACAAAATGATTTTCTCAAATTTTTTTTCACATTTTGTCTCTCATAGTTGAGGTCTACCTATGTTGTCAATTACAGGCCTCTCTCATCTTTTTAAGTGGGAGAACTTGCACAATTGGTGACTGACTAAATACTTATTTTCCCCACTGTGAGCATAAAAATCATCTGATGTGAAGAACGCGGCTCATACTTGAGTCTGTTGACAGACGGGGCGTTCTTCCAGCTGAGGTGAAGCTGCTCGGAGCTGAACACTTGACCTTTCTTCACAGCGAAGCCGAGGCGACAGTACATAGAGACTGCATTCTGATTAAACACAAGAGAATCACAGTCACACATCGCTAAACATGGAACACATCTGRTTAGACACTCCTGGATGGTTTTAACTTAAAAAAGGGGTGAAAAAGACAAAAAATAAGTGTGTTGAAGCTATAAAATACACTCAAAAATGGCCATGTCGTTGTTACACCAAACACTGATTTGTGAACAATTAACAGGGGGGTCAAACTCAGTTACACAAGGGGGCCAAAATTCTACACTTGGTCCAAGCCGAAGCCCAGATTCTGTAAATATTTACTGACAAAATTTATTTAACAAATTATTTTTATAGAAATGCAAATTATATTTTCCAAATTATGTTTAACGTAATATTTATAACCTGCATAACCTACTTTAAAAAGACATCTTTAACATTCATTTCTTATGCCTTTCTATCTATCAACAACTTTTGTGTTCATGTCTTAAAAACATTTAAAAAACTCAATAAAAATGTAATTACTTGATGTCAAAATAAGAAAATATCATTAAATAATAAATTGATTCCAGTGGTGGGCGGCACTAATCTAAAAATTAGTTCCACTTGCCCTACAACACTAACTCAAATATTTAGTCCCCTAATTCTAAATCACTAATGGGCTGAAAGTTTTAGCAAAAGCTAATTCTAAAGCACTTAAATTACCCAGTCAACCTATGAACATTCTTCAACAGACAACATGAGTCACATATTGCTCTCTTAAAGCTTATCATTGACATTCCACAGCTTTATTTGGTTCATATATTGTCAATATGTCACCTGGTGGATAAATGACACACATATGAACAAAATGTGTGACAGCTTTCACCATCAGCTGTTAACATTAACGCTGATCAATAACATTTATAGACCTCAGTTAGTGCTTCTAGATTTAGCAAGTGCTAATCCACTAATAAATTTTAAAATTAGCAAAAGCCCTAAAGCACTAATCAGGAAATTAGTTCCCCTATTAGTGCTTTAGTGTTTTAGGGGACCTGTAACTACCACTGGTTGATTCTCTGTTGCTCTTTCTCACCAAAATCAAAGATTACTAAAAAATTTTAACTGAATTTTCTCAGCTTGAAAGTTGACCAGCTGTCATGARAAGAATGTACTAAAAGCAGCGACAAAAACARAAACCATGAAACTATTTGACATTTAGAGTATTACCTTTAGGGCCGGACAAAACGGTAACAAGGGCCAAGTTTGGCCCGTGGGCCTTGAGTTGAAACTAGACGCTGTAATTCCAATGTATTGCTTCTAATTTATATTTTATCTTTATTTGTTTAAATGATCCAGGTTACAAATGAGTCACTGCACAACACAAACCTGAACAAAAGTGAAAGTGGGAAAGGTTTTGCACAAAGCTTTCCTCTCCTCTGAATCATCTCTGAATGACAGCATTGCCACTAACGCTGCTTCAACCGTTCCTCCTCAGTGTTTCTTTGTAGTGACTCGAATGGGACGTGGAGCTGAAGGACAAAGAAGTTCATCTCTTCAAGCTGGAGGTCAAACACACTGAGGGGAGTTTGGCTCTTTGACAGAGAACGAGTGGAAAACTGGGTCAAACCTGAGAGCCCATTCAAGCGAGTCAGGAGGGCAAAGAGGACCTAATCTGGAACAAAGTGGATGTTTTAACAAACTAACTCGATGTCCGTTTGTATTCTACTTCCAACATTAACAAAAAAACAATTGTGCTAACGTTGTTTTCCCCCAAAGGTTTAATGATTTTTATTAAAAATCAAACACGAGGACTTCTGCACTGCCCGGTAAACTCACCTTCACTAAACCCAAGTCAATCTCCAGCACATTTGCCAGCTGAGAAACACAGAAGGAGGAATCAGGAGAGGGAGGGGGAAAAAAAAACATGATTGATAAACTGATCAATAAACACAGACACACTCAGGCACTGTTACATTAAAGGAGCACAGAAGCAAAACCCACCTCCGCCACATTCGTCTGCTCATCAATGGACACAAAGATTTTGTAGAGAAGCGTTTCAAAGTAATCGCCCTGGACACGGTTCATGACAAAGCCTTCAAGAGGGGGCACTGAAAGAAACAAACAGATGAGCAAATATTTGTTCTTACAACATGTTGTTTCCACAGCCTGCCTTCTGAACACTGCATATCCATCATATATCCATTATTGTTCCCCGAGGCGTCTTTCCAAATCAGTGCAACTCTATTATCCACGATGTTTGTTTACGTTTCCGCACTTAATCTACGCACATATGATGTTCAGTCAGCCTAACTGCTCAAAGCAGGATGTTTTGATCGCTCACTCAGTGTCGTATCTACCTGAGATACAGCTGTCATCAGATATGGGAACGTCCAGGTAGATGAAGCCCCGGTTGTATAAGCCTGCAACAAAAGAACAATAACACTGCTAGCATCGTAAATATAATTACAACTGACACCGCTGCCAAGATCTAATAACTCATTTTAAAACACGAATGAGTTCTTCCACTTTCTCTGAGAAGAAGAGAGGTTGGCTGGAAAAAAATGAACCAAATGAAAAATAAAATAAATAAATAACTTTCTCCCTTATGTATTCAGTTCTTGTGTTCCTAATCAGTCACCAGATACTCAATATGCTATCAAACCGTTCTCTAATTAAAAATTGAAACTGCTTGGACAAAACCTCAAAGCAATTCGGACACTGATGGATGATCTAAATTAAGTTCTGACTCAAAAGCAGGTCGTAGTTACAGAAATTCCGCAAGATGTTCAAGATATTTTTTGTTTTATTGTGAGTTTAAAGTGCCAGATTATATACACTCACCGGCCACTTTATTAGGTACACCACGCTAGTAACGGGTTGGACCCCCTTTTGCCTTCAGAACTGTCT